AAGAACGGGGAGAAAGCGTTGAAGCAACGCGCGGGGATTCGGAGGAGCAAAGGAGCGGCCTCGCGGAGAGCTGTTCCTTGCTCTCAGGCAGAGCAATTTAGTCAGATCTCTTAATTAAAAGCCAACGGTGCAGCTTTTCCCCACAAAGTTCATGTCAGTCCTTGGAACCTGCCGATGCGCTGCCCCCAGCCAAGGGGTTAGCGCTTTCCGGGAGCTGCTTTTCCGCAGGGTGGCCGAGCGTGCCGGCTTTGGGATGCGCTAGAGCTGCCGCCTGTCCCAAGGCCGCCGGCATCACGGGAGGGGAGGGATGGAGGGAAGCCAAGAGCCCTCGGGAAGAGCCTTCCCGGGAAGAGCTGCAGAATTCCCCCGTTTCGGAGAAATCCCCCTCGCAGCTCAGCTCTCCCCTGTTCCACTCCGCTGCTCTTCATTTTGTTCTGACTGAACTTGCTCTGCTCTCTCCTCCCTCCGCACTTTTTTCCCCTGCAATGAGTTCTGTAGTTTTCTGATGATGGTTGAAGCGTTCTGTAAATAATTTTTGGCTTCTTCCTTTTTCAGTAAGTGCTGCACATATCCATTATTTAAAACCCGTTTCTAAATTGAGCTGCCTGCTACACTTTCCTATTGCACTGACTGCAAATTTAAGGTTGTTGGATTTTTTTTTCCTATAGTTGTGGATTTTGCGTTTGTTTCCTTCCAGTAAATATTTTCCAAGAACTGTCAATGCTTTCGTTGCTGCTGTGGCAGGTAATGAGCTTGCTGGCAGGAGACTTGCAGGGAGCCCTCACGAAAAGAGCAATGCAAAGTAATGAGTAGTAGCTGCTTTGGCGGCATTCATCCCAATGTCATCACAAATGCATAATTGTGGGTTTGTGTGGTGCTTGGGGTGGGAATACACAAACATTATTAAATGCAGACTGGGGACTATTTCATATTTTTGTCTGCCATGGAAAGGAGGTTGGTTTAATTGCCTCTTGACAGAATATAAGCACCAACTTTGGTTTCTTTACTCTGGTTTTAGTGCCGAAGGCTGTTTATACGGTTGGGAAAGGGGGAATTTCTGCGTGTGCAGCTTTTTGCCATGCTGGAAACAAGGGCAGGTGGAAGGTGTTCCAGTCCTGGCCGTTGGCAGCCAGGCTCTGTGTTAGCACCTACAAAACCTGCCCGTGCAGAAAGCACCGCGGGGCTGGAAGAGCAGCCGGGAGCCCGAGCGGGGACGGCGGTTCCGCCGAGGACGCCGATGATGTTTCCATGACCTGCCTTGCGCTGCCGTTGTGATATCCGCAGAGCTTCTCCACGAGGTCGAGCCCCTCCAAGCTCCTCGCGTGCATCTATTATTGACGGCACACGGGTATTGGAAGGTCCCTGCCCTCGGCGCCCACGGCTCCGCGGCGTGCGCGCTCCGTGCGAGCAGAGCCGCGGGCATCCTGCTCCGGCCTCGGCGCGGAGCGCTCCCGGGAAGGGGCAGAAACGCGGCGTGCCAGTGGGAATTGCGGCTCCCGCCTCCCGAGACCGATGCCACGGGAGCTGCCGTGCTTAATTATCCACAGGGATTGCCCTGCGCAGGGCAGGACGTGCTCCAAGGCCGGGTAGCAGGGCAGATTCCAGGGTCTCCCGAAAACCACTTGCCCTGGGAAGGAGCACATCCCGGCAGGCCGCAGGGAAGCTCGCTGCCTGGAATGGTGCTGAGCTGCTTCCCTCCTGCGGCTTCTGCGACGATCCAGCAAGAAGAGAGGGAGGTTCGAGGAGGGCGCAGGGATCCCCGGCAGAGATCCGGGGCGCACCGCGGCGCCGAGCACTTCCCCCCTGTCGGAATTCCCTCCTATCCCGAGCACGGACGGCTCCTGCAGCTCTGCCCCATGGCTTTAGGGAAGCAGCGGGAGCAGAGGAGCAGGATCCGAATCGACACCCGCTGCCCGCTACAGGAAAACAAATATATCGACTCCCTACCACTCTAGTGGCCCTCAGGCAGCCAGTTTAATAGAAGTAGAGGCTGATTTAATACAGGTAAGTAAACACCTTAGACATCTTATAAAAACAGTTCTTAAATTTCATTATAAGGGAAACTTGCAGTTTTCCCTTGGTTACTCGCGCAGTGCTTCAGAGCATGCATTAGAAAATGTCAAAAACATCTAACATGTAAAGGCTTTTTTTTTCAGTCTGCTAAATCTCATTTTGTTGAACCTTTTGGCTTTATCTCTTCCTGCGTCTGCTGGTTTTAAGCTCTCCCCCTTATGTAGGTCACACTTTCACATTTTACGCTTGAGCCGCTGTCTTGGAGCTGTATCTCTTGTAGAATGAAATAACATATGATCTGTGTAGAAATAGCACTCTTTTTTTTCTTTTTTTTCCTCCTCTCTCTGTAGTGGTACTACCAATTTCCCCATGCTTAATCCCGGGTTGGTTGGGTGTTGCTTGATTACTGCTCAACCGCAGCATTTTGGAGTTCTGTTACGTGATAGGATTGTTGCTCTGCAAGGTCTTTTAGCTAATTTTGAGATAAAATTGTAGCATACTAAAAAAAAAAGTCACAGAGTAGACAGCCAGCCCTGCTCTCAAACATAGAGAAGCTTCTCGGCTTACTGGGTAGCTTCAGGAAAACTGCAGTGCCCCTTATTTTTAAATCTGCCAGCACTGGGAGAATAGCACTTGTAAAGCGTTGTTCTTTGAGTCGGCTGTGAAGTCCTTCCCGTTATTGTTGTGAGATTTGGCGAGATGACACGTAATTTGAACTTGTAAGAAAGCAAATTATTTTAAAGTTGATTTAATTTGCCTTTGACAGTGATTTTAGCTGTGACTGTGGCTGCTGTGAACACGTAAACCGTAGCCACTTGCAGACATGGAGCAATACAAAGAACCAAGTCTCCGTGTCGCTGAGGGACTCCCTGCCTAGCGGTAGAGCGTGAGACTTCACTATTGCAAACCTGACCCAGCTCTGGATCCTTCCAAAGGGGTTTTTATTTTAATAAGTGTTCATTAAAAGCAACATCTGCTCAAGCCGGGCTTCTGCTTCCAGCAGGTCGAGGGAGGGGATCCTGCCCCTCTGCTCAGCCCTGGTGAGGCCACATCTGCAGGATTGTGTCCAGTTCTGGGCTCCACAGGACAAGAGGGATGTGGAGCTGCTGGAGAGAGTCCAGCGCAGGGCTACGAGGATGATCAGGGGCCTGGAACATCTGCCCTATGAGGAGAGGCTGAGGGAGCTGGGCCTGTTCAGCGTGGAGAAGAGAAGGCTGAGAGGGGACCTGAGCAGTGTCTAGAAGTACCTCAAGGGAGGCAGTGAGGAGGATGGTGCTGGCCTCTTTTCAGTGGTGGCCACTGACAGAACTAGAGGAAA